AAAACTACAGAAAATGTGGCTGAGAAAGAACAAAGAAACAGATTGTTGAATCTGTATTAAAAATAAATGACCTCTGGGTTACATCTCAATGCACTGTGCCTGAAAACTGCTGCTACTTTCTGGCTTAAGTTTTAAACCTTGTTTTTAAAACATGTAATGGTAAAGAACCCCATCAAAGGCTAAATTAGTTCAGTGGTTGATAACAGTACTAAAGTAATTCTTAACACAGGGTGTAGTTTAGATATTGGTATAAAGGGTTCACCATCTCTCCTGACTATTTAAACACACCGGCATTTCCAAACTCAATTTGGTAAACAGCTGGAACAGGGTTAATAATCCATATTCCAACAGGAAAAACTGGAAATCATAAGCCACTAATAGGGTTCTGTCCCTTTTACTTCTTACTCTACAATAGTTACTAAAGGGAAACAGATATTGAGCCATTTGTTGAAATACCAAAAAAGGCCTGGGGCATCTCTCAGCATCTTCTGTGAAGTTCTGATCACTGTAATCTGTCTCCTGAACTGCATTGTGTGCACTCTTATTTTAAACTGTCACCTATCTAAATTATCACAAAGCCCAAATAGCTCAACAACTATATTCTCACATGCAAGCCCCTGCTACTACTATTCCATCCTTTATCTATAGCCAAAAAAAAAAAAACAAAACTCCCTGTTTTTATGATATATGTTTAATAAATCCATACATATAAAAATCATTACTTAATGATTATTAGGAAGACTAAAGACCTGATAAGGCAGTGAATTAGAGAGAAAATGAGTTCCTCTGTAGATTCAGTTACCTTTTCTTAAAATGGCTAAATAAAATAATGTTTTGTTCTCAGAAGAATTATGAGCACTACCAAAATTTTATAAATGTTGTAAAGCTCAGAGTTCAAAATTTCCCAGAAACTGGGAAACTAGAGAAGCAAATGAACAACTTTCATCAAGTTGTCTTATAAGAAATAAATTGAACAGCAAAAGAGCAAACAAATTAGTACTAGCTAAGAGCATTTTCAGATCCTTCGCTCCTCCCTTCATTTCAGCAGCATTTCATTTAAATGCAGGCATACATATCTGCAAAGTTTAAGCTTCAGTCTTTTAAACAGCTTCACATATCTGAACTTCACTCTTCTAAGAAGTGCTGCTGATAAAACTACTCATGTGAACAGTGTCAAGTACCTGCACAGGACTAAGGTTAAAGAAAGTAATAAAGAAATGAGCTAATGAATGCAGGGTATCACTAACAATTATTTCTGAAAAGTGAGGGACAGCAAGGAAGAAAGCAAAGCTTGAAAAATTAACAGCTGAAATATGAGGGGTGGAGGAGAAATTAGGTTATGGCCCCAGAAATTAACCTACAAAAATTTAACTTCAATACCTTTAAAATAACAGAATCAATGCTAAGGAGAAAAAAATAATAGAGCATCCCTAACTTAGCAGTCATGACAACCACGCTATTTTCTCACCATTTGATGAGTCCTCTTCAGTTCAAGGCTGAAGTTCATGGGTACTGTGGAGAAGATCACTTGGCAACTGCTCTGCTGTAATTAATCCATGAATAAAGAATAGGCTTCAGTTTTCACAGATACCAAGCCAGCACTTTTCACAACCATTAAATCCACAAAAATATTAAAACATTTAGAAGTTACAGATAGGCCATTTTAGCAAAACTTTGCCACAGAACCTAAGTTTAATACCAAATCCTTCCTTAAATCCTCAAGGACATCTTCGTTATTATGAGTCAGGCCTATAGGTATGTTGGAGTCAATATTAAAAGATGCGAACAAAATATAGTAAATTCAACCTTTTGACAACTACATCATTAGTTTTTATGCAACATTCAGCACTTTAGTGGCTGAAAAAAAAAGCTAAATGGAAAGTGTGCTACTGAAAAATCAGGAGGTAAAAAAGCAACAAAACCCCAATTTTATTTTTGATCTGCAGGTTCATAGGAAGTCTAATAAACTATATGCAAGTTCTAAGCCAGTACACGCTTCTTGCAGTCTTTACAGTCTATAGAAGCATCCCTAGATCAGGTCTATTCTGGCAAATTCAAAACTCTGTTTTCATTGTACAATAGTCAGTTATGTCCACTTCAGTCTTTTCTAAATTACAGTGTCTATCACTGATAGCAGACTGAAATTGCAAAAGCAATCCCAAATCTTTTATTTGTCAGGGCAAATCAGAAACTGATGGACTACAGAAAGAAGTAGAACACTCACACATGAAAGAGAATGTCCAACTACAGTTAGTAGATTATTAAACTGAAACTTTAAACTTCAAGTGATACAAAATTTACAGAGGAGGCCTGAAGGGAGGCTTAGGTGAACCTATAACAGGTATCTAGAAGGCTGGATGAAAATCAGGGGCAAGGCAGGGCTCAACCTAGAAAAATAAATAGAAAAAAATTCAAACTCCCACTGGCTGTATGCCCACATACAATACAAACACAGAAATACACACCAGAATAATATGTAGGTGTGCAATTATTATAATTATGTGGGTGCATCTTAGTGCCCCCAAACTTGTCTAAGTTACCTAGGAACTGATCCAGATGAAATGGAATAACATGCAAGAACCCAAGCAAGCCAAAGAATCTAGCTAAAAAGTTACATGGTAATGACACAATGCCAGTTTTCATTACAACAAATTCCTCTAATCCTCACAGTTGTAAAATAAATCTTGGAAACACATAGCAAGGTAATTTGTAAAGCAATGCGTGCCTGAGTCAGAAGACAGCCTGCAGCTTTCTAACCACTCCTAGCTATGAGCATCTGTTCTTTCAGCAGATAAGTACCTTGCTTTGGTTTTGCCCCCTCTCAGCTGGACTAGACAATTCAGTATATACAAGCACAAAGTCTGCTGCATATAGGAGACTCCAAGTACAAGAAGCTGTGGGGATGTCAACTCAGCAACATAGGTTGTACTATAAACTGCTCTCTCTAATGATTTTCTCTAGACTTTTTATTTACAAATTCAGGATCTCAAGATCCTCCAGGGCCTAAATCCAAGATTCCTAAAGAAGGGCCTAGCCTACTAAGTCTCTAGACTGGATCCAGGTGTCAACAGTTTCCCTCATCCAACACAAGAGAACCTATGCAATGAATGGGAAAAAAAGCTCTTATTTCCAGGGACAGAACTTTCAAAGGGCTGGTCCAAGTTTAAGGAATGAAAGTGCCTAGAAGCTAAGGGCCATCAGAAACCTAACTGCACCTTGCCTGAAAAACAAAACATGTTATTTCAACCTTGCCTCACTAACATAAAGACATTACGTTATGTATGTGGGAGAAAAGACAGATAAAATAATCTGAAAACATTCAACTGTTTTCAGCACATGCTCCTTCCCCTGGCAACAAGAGAATAGCTAATATGACAAATGCTGGTCATGTCACTTATTATAGTATGAGGAGATTCTCTGACAATTTAATGGCACTCTCTGAGGAGAAGAACTGAAACATAGGACAGACACTACTGGGAGGTGTTCAGATAGGCCTGTAATGAAAACTGCATTAGGAAAGGAGTCCATTATAGAAACTGCAGCTTAACCTTGTATTTGCTACCACAGCAGAGAAGACTCTAATAAGCCCAAGTGGTTTGGAATGGAAATTTGATCTAAAGAATTGACATCACTTTTGGTGAGGTTCAAAATCCCTTTTTCTCCCTTCTGTCTTCAGCTGTGTTCCTGCTGTGACTTTTTGGCTTCAGTAGTCACTGAGGAAACAAACTGATCATCCTCTCCCAGATGCTACAGCCAGGGAATGCAAAACCCACCTCGTATTACACAGATTTTTACACTATAGCAATTGCTTTTCTCACTTGTTCTGATTTTCAGTTAAATATTTACCCATTCTGATCCTTAAATTATTGTAATTGTGCATTATTTAAATTAAGAGATAAGCATGAAAGACATAAACCAAGACTATTAAATTAGGTTTATGTTTTGGGCAGTCCTAAGTAATTCTGAGAACAATTATTATGTAATATCACTATTAGCTTCTTAAATCTGAAATACAAAAGCATAATAATGAAGAGAACTACTCAGTGTGCTTACATATAATAATATATATTTCAGTCTGTATAGGATTGGGGCCTATGTGCATTAAGCATGGAATCTGAGAGCAAGAACTAGATATTAGAGGATGTAAAAATTTGACTTTCATTAAAAACCTTAATGAAATGACATCTGAAAGGACAATAGTGTGAGTCATATTAGAGAATACCATCTGTATCACAGAAACAGTGTATCATAGAATATTGACATACTACCTTCTATACCTTATTTCTATACTACAGTTGGAAAAATGGGTAAAAAATAATAGCTAGAATTATTTTAGGGCAAAACTACACCTCATCTAAGTAAAGAGAAGTGGTATCACCAGCACCAGCATCATATCTTTTTTTTTTTTTTTTTTTTTTTTTTTTTTTTTTTTACTGTTTTCACTGCTATTTCTAGTGCAAAGTTTTATTTTCACAAGAACACAGCCTTCAGGAAAAAAAATTTTAAAAATATTTCTTTTCAGTTGAAAGGCACACTTTGAAAATTTTGCTCAGGGTAATTTTATTAAAAGAAGAGCAAAAATGTAAATACACTGCAAATCATTTGTATTTCCTCCTTACTAATAGAATGGCTTTACTAATAGAATGGCTTTACGAAGTGAAGTTTTTTCATCTGGCTCATTTTCACTGAGAACCTGGTTTAAAAAATTAGGAATCTCTTTCTTTAGCAATACCAAACTTCAAATCCGAGGAAAATATAATAACAAATGCCTAATATTAGTTATGTGATTACTTACATGTTGCCTTGCACTACTTTTGTCACTAAGGAGCTCCAGAATTATATACTTTCTGAGTAGCAGTAGTTTTCGTAGCCATGACGGTCTAAGTTCTTTGAGCCCAAAGGCTTGGCGTTTTCTACTATGGCAGTTAGTTAAAAAAAAAAAAAAAAAAAAGGCATTACCTCTCCCTTTCAAAAACTTGTTCTGCTTATACTTTTGTCAGTGCAGCTCTAGCAGGGAGCAGTGGAATCATGAAAAGCATTAGGCCCTGAGCCTGCTAACGCTCGTCTGCCAGCAGTCAACCGAGTTCAAGATGACTCGCTCACAGACGTGAAGGGAAGATTTTGAAAGTCAGTGGGAGCAGAGCTCCCAGACGCTCATTATGTACTTTTGAAAAATCTTCCCCGAAGTCATGGGAACAACAGCTTGCAGGTCTCAGGCCTCTGCTTTCTTTTCCCTTTTTTAAAAAGCGCATGAGATTTGAAAAAAAGCAAACCCACAAAACAGAACAAAACACTGAAGTCAGAAAGCCCGAGGAGCGGCTGGCAGGGATGCGCTGGATCTCCCTGCCGAGGCAGGGTCCGCGGAGCTCCCAGGGAAAGACTCTCAGCAGGCACAAGTCAAGTGCAGACAGCGAGTGGCTCGGGCGGCACCGCAGCCTGCCTTCCTCCTGCTGCTTTCGGCAGCTCCCTAAACTCCATCTCGGCTTCCCCATCCCTGAGCGGGGCTGGGACCACTAACCCGGCCATCAGGTACCTTACGCTCAGTCACAGCTCGGGCCGGAGGGGAGCGTGGGGGAGGATGCGGCGTGAAAATGAAAGTTCACGTTTTCCCCGAGCGCTCCGTGCGCAGCCGAGGCGGGAGCGCTTGCCCGAGTTGAATCTCGCTCCGTCAAGTTCCTCTGAGACACTGCTTTTCTTTTTTTTTTTTTTTTTTTTTTTTTTTTTTTTTTTTGTGTAGGGTTTTTTTTTCTTTTTGTGTTTTTTGGTTCTTGGTTGTTTTGGGTTTGGGTTTGTTTTTTTTTAATTTCAAATGACCAGTGTAGGGCACTCGGGGCCCGCTGAGCCCTGCGATGCGCCCACACAGCCCCGCTCCGCCGTTCGGGGGCTGTTGGTAAGCCCGGGCTGGGGGCGGCCGGGGGGGCTGCCCCGGGGCGCTGCCGCCGCGCAGCCGGTGCGGCGGCGGGAGGGGGGATGGGGAGCGGCGGCTGCCAGGCGGGATCGGGATCGGGCCCGCGCGCTGCGGACAAGCGCCGAGCGCTTCCAACCCTCCTCCGGCTGCAGCGGGGTGCGCGGCGATGGGGGGAGACGGGGGGGACAAGGGGGGGGGGGGGGGGGGGGGGGGGGGGGGGGGGGGGGGGGGGGGGGGGGGCTAGGGGGGGGGACAACGTGGGAGAGGCGCTGTTCATATTTTCCTCAGGTCCTCTTGGCGCACATCCCCCTCCCCCGCCGGGCTTCCTTCCCCTACCTTCCCAAAACCCTTTCTCTACCTTCCCCAAACCCGCTGTCGTCTCCCCCCCACCCCGCTATCCACCACCCCCCGTATCCCCACCGGCGCCTTTACCTTGACAAGTTCGCGGGGCCGGCGGAGGTCTCGCTCCCCCTCTCTCTCTCTCTCTCTCTCTCTTTCTCCCTCTCTCTCTCTCGCTCTCCCACACACATCTCTAACGCGCCACCTCTCCCCCGCGGGCCCGGGCTACGGGTGACATTTCTCTCTCCCTCTTTCTCCCTCCCTCCCTCCCTCCTTCCCTCTCCCCCCCCCCCCCCCCTTTCCCCATTAGCGGCGGTTGGGTCGGGAGCGCGCGCCGCGCGGGGAGGGCGTGGAGCGCGCGCGGGCGGGCGTCGGGCGCGGGGGGGGGGCGGGGGGGAGGGGCGGCATTGACAGCGAGCGCCGTGTCCGTGCGGCGCTGCCGCCTCAGCCCCCTCGCGCCCCCCCCCGTTCCCGGCATGCCCCGGGGCGGCGGGGCTGGCGCTAACGAATTTGAATGAAGAGCCCTCCGCTCTTTCGGCGCCATTTTCGAGTGATGCCCGATCGCATCGCTGCCGCCGCCGCCGCGGGGGAGGCGCGGGGCGCGGGGGCCGCCCGCCCGCCCCGACAAACTCGCCCACCTCTACCCTGCGTTACCCCCGCTTACACCCTCGCCGCCGCGCTTCGGAGCGGGTGCCGCCGCCGCCGGCACAGGCGGTAAGAGCCGGAGGGAGCGGGCGCGGCTGGGGCAGAGGGAGCTGGGCGGGCGGGCGGGCGGGAGGGGGAAGCGCGTCTTCGGAAAACGGGGGCAACCTGCGCCCCGCCGCCGGGAAAAGTCACCTCAGGAGCCCAGTGGGCAGCAGGCGAGAGGCTCCCGGAGTGGCGGCAGGTTCTGGGCGGATCTGTCACTCGCTTCCCTCAGCCCCAGCAGCGGGCGGGAGCGGCCGTCTCCTCCGGCAGGTAACCCCGCTCACCCCGCGGGGCGGCACCGCGCCCGGGCGGGGATCCCGGGAGCTCCGCTCGCACCCGGCCCGGCCCGGAGACGGAGGCGCTGAGGCGGGCGGGGGGGCCCGGGAGCCGCGGGACAGCCCGAGCTCCGGAGGGTGCCCCTGCCCCGCGCTCCCGGGACATGACAGGACAGGCTTCCCCTCATCTACCCCCACCCCCGCTCCCCAGCACCCCTCCCCAGTGGATCCTTCCCTCCCGCCTTCTCCCCCCGCCTCTCCGCCGTGGAAATTTCGGGGCAGCGCTCGGGACACGGAGGCTTCTGCTTCCTTGCTCTTCAGCAGCAGCAGCCAGGATGACTTCCCCACTTACATGCACATCTCCCTTTCTCGCCCGCCGCCCCCCCCCCCCCCCCCCCCCCCCCCCCCCCCCCCCCCCCCCCCCCCCCCCCCCCCCCCCCCCCCCGCCCCCCGCCTCCTTCTTCCTCTCTCCCCGTGTTTTCGTAAGCTGGATTAATGCCCCTTCGCTCTTTCTCTTCCCCGTCCCTTCTCTCCCCGCCACCCCCTCCACCCCCTTCCCCCCCAAAAAAAAATAAGAGGACAACCTTCGGGATTTTTTTTCTCCGTTTGTTTCCTCTCCATGTTAGCAGATTAACTTCTCCGTTTAAGCGCTTTCTTCACCTCCCACTCAAGCGCTTAATTTCCCATGTCGCGATACGGAACCGCCTTTTGCAGGAACCTGGGTCGTGCTGCCACATGCTGTCATATTTATCGCCTCTGTCCCTTTGGTATTAACGAAGGACCAAAGTGCTATTGCACAGGGCTATTTTCCCCCCTCTTAGCGTTAAAACGCGAGTTTCCTTCTTGCTCTAGAGGGGGGGAAACATAATCCGAGACCATGTGAATCGTGCCGGCTATTTCTAGGTGTTTTTCCTGTCCTCCCACACACCCCAAAAACGAGTAAATACCCTCCCCATAGATAGCCCAGCCTAATACTGTGATCAGAGCTGGCCATTCACCTCCTCTTCTCCGCCTACAAAATTCTCTGTCTCTGTCACCCGGGTCGCTATTTGTCATTGGCTTAGCTATTTTTTGGTGGCTGTTTCTATGTCATTTCTCGGTGGCCAGCAGCTCTCGGTCTCTCGTAGCTGTATGAACGCGATCGTGCTCATTGTGATAGGCGCCGAGATCTCTCGCAGCTTGTGCGCTGGGCGATTCCCCCGCCGCGCACACACACACATACACACATAATATGTGACACAGTGCCTTTTCCTCCACGACGTCGTTTAACCCCCTCGGGGCCGGGTTTGGCGTGGGTGCTCGCGTTTCGGAGTTGCGCACACAGGCTCACAAGGCATCTTTTTGTGGCGGGAGCGCCGGCGAGGACAGCACCGTGCAGTGGGGCAGGGAGGAAGCTCGAGCGCTGCCAAGCCAGCGGGCTCCTTCACAGCCACAATTTCTAAGCGTTACTTTTTATTCCTCTTCCTACTTCCCTCTTCACTTTCGGCCGCCTGACCTTTTTTTTTTTTTTTTTTTTTTTTTTTTTTTTTTTTTTTTTTTTTTTTTTTTTTTTTTTTTTTTTTTTTTTTTTTTTTTTTTTTTTTTTTTTTTTTTTTTTTTTTTTTTTTTTTTTTTTAATTATTATTTTTTTTTATTATTATTATTATTTTGTCCGGGGAAAGGAAGGCGTATGGATATTTTTCCCGATGCCGTGTGAGCGGCGGGCGCCCGGGGCTGCCGTCGAGCCGGCGGGCGCTCAGGATGCGCAGTTAACGCAGCATCGGGCCCCCCGTTAAGGCGCCCGTTCAGCGGAGGCTGGACCGGCTGCTGCCCCCCCTGGTTGCCTGCGGGGACGCGGGGCTGGGAGGTTGGACCGGGTCACAGCCTTTCCCCGCTCCTCTTTCCCCCCTCCCACTGCCCCCCTCCGTCCCCCCGTTACACCCCCCCGCGCATCCCTCCGCGGCGTTCAAAGCCAGAAGCGGCCGCCTTGCGCTTTGCACCCTGGCCACCGAAAATAACGAGTTAACCGAGGGACGTAGGAGGGACGTAGAGAAGAGTTGGGGTGCAGAAGTGCTGTACAAAAGATTTCTGTGTACATGGCTGAGAGCGTGTAGTCTTAAAGAGAAATGCAAAAACTTAGCGTTTCCAGCATGGCAACTAGATTGTGATTCAAGGTATTTTCTGTGTGATGCAGAAATGCAATAGTTGAAGGAGGTTTTTCTGCCTCGAATCCTTAGTTTCCCTGGATTCTTTTAACCCAGTACACAAATTATACTTTTTCAGTCATTTTTTCCTGGGAATAGCTTCTTATTTTGTCTCCACAATTCATACCTTTGTGCCTTGATAGAAAATTCAGCTTAATCCTTGAAATTGCGATACTAGTAAGATCTTATTGAGATTTAGCACTGATTTCTTTAGATTTGCATGATTACTTTCAGAGTGTTTTCAGAAACGTTTTTTGCAGTCAGTATGGGAATGTGCACAGGGCTGTTTCATTGTAGCTCTGTATGCTTTGAAATACCAGGATTTGAAGAGATTTACACTATTCAGCTGTGGAAGTGCACTCACAAACACTGACTTTCACTTTCAATGAAATAACTGTCCTGACTCATAGCTAATTTGGAAAAAAACCCCTATAATTCAGTATTATACAGGTGCATATGCATTTTTCCCCACTATTCGATAGTCATGTTCAATAGAATGCAATTTATATCTATTTTTCATCTTACTTAAAATCTCTGCTTAGCACATATTTGACTACGTGAAACAACTGTTATTTTAAGCATTTTTATTTCTCAGCTGCACCATTCCCATATTTTACAATTACATAAAGGTGGGTGTGGCTAAAATGAAAGCAGTGAGCAATCTAATATCAATATATAGTGTATGTTAAGTAGGTTTTCCTTTTTTATATTTGATGTACTCCTTATTTTGAAATATTTTGGGGGAAAAAAATCATGTAGCTTAAATAGACCCTTGTAGAGCTGCCTGCATTTTTTACCTTAGTTAAAATGTCAAACATTAACTGGGATTACTTGGCCCTGGAAAACTTACATTTAGAGGAAATATCAATTGAACTTAAAGATCTAAACCTATATAGTTATAATGATCAGTGAAAGTTGAAGTTTTATGCTTAATAAAACCTTGCTTAGATACACCACATAGCATAGTGTGTGTATTAATTTTTTTTCTTTGTTTCTTTTCAACTATCTTGATTCTTAGAAAAACATCCAAATAAGCTTCGGTTGGTTGGGGTTTGGTTTTTTGTTTTTTTTTTTTTACCTCCCTCTAAGTTGTAATGAAAGTTTCCAAGAAAGTTTCTTTCATTTTATAGATATAAATCTACTGAAACTTGGAATAACTCTTGAGATTTTTTTTTAATTTTCAGAAATAACAGTGATTTGAAAGTGTGACTGTGTACCTATGTGACTTTTTAATGTGTTAGGTTAGTATTTTATAGGAAGCTTAATGTAATGACATTTTAAAGGGAGACTATATATACGATACCAAGGTATCATGGAGTTCTTTTTCTGTTTGGCTCGTTGTTTGGTGTTTGGGGTTTTTTTGGGTTTTTTTTTTTTTTATCCTTAGCTTCTGAAATTCTGAACATCTTACTATTCCATCTTAAATGTAATGTCATAGAAGGAAAAAAAAATTGGAGTCTTTAATTCTTTAATTATTTTTATGACTAATAAGTCACATTCTTAGTGAAGTACAACTGGAACTGCATACAGACTACCTGGCTCTGTACACCTTGCCTGTGAACACTGTATGAAGGTGCACATCTCATCCATCTTGAATGTCAAAAGCCATCCTAACAGGTGTATCTACGCTTTTTTGTCACACTTTTGCACATGTACAAGCACATGACCTTTCTTTACAGAAAAAGTAGCCACATAACAGTTAGTATTTCTTTTATAGGACCTTACTGGGTTTTGTTATTTTCATTGGGAAGCAATTAACTACTGAATATGTAAGGGAGAACCAAGAAGCTTATCATTGTGTTCTACGAATGTGCTGCAGGTATTCTGTTTTGTAGATGCAGTCATCCACCCACACCCAAAGGCCTGTTGCAAGTCGTTCCAGTAATTTACATTAATTACAAACTGTCAAAGGTAGAGCGCATCTTGGACTAGTTTTGGTTGTCTATGAAAGAAATAGGGAATTAAATTGCAGGCTTTTGTGTACAAACAGAAAAACATTTTTATCAGAAAGTTTTTAAAACTAAAAATAACTTTATGTACATCAGTAAGTGTTCTCCACAGATTTTTTTTTTTTTTTTAAATACCAACATGTTATTGCAAGTTCTAAACACTTAGTATCTAACACTGGAACCTGATCTCAAAAAATTATAATGTTTTCTATTATCGGGAAAGTTTGTTGTTTTTTGTTTGTTGGGGTTTTTTTAAACAAGCTGCCCAAATTATTGTTGTACATAGTCCCCTGTGACTCCTCTCACAGCCATCTATTTTTTAATAGAACTAGTAAAGTATTTTAAAGATAGAAAAAAATTGATATGCCCCCAACTTAAGTAGCTTGTTATATATTCATACATCAGTAACCTGAAAATTCTACATAACTTCTGTCAATAATGCACATACACAAAAAAAAAAATTGCAAAGCAACATTTTCACTACCTAAAAAGAGGTTACTGGAAATTTATGGCTACACCTCTCCATTCTATCTCATGTCCCCTTTCTATTTGAGGTTTCAAAAGAAATCTTTATTGAAAAATATTTTCATTGTGGATACTGGACAATTTCAGAAATTGTTAAAGTAGGTATAAAAATTTCTGCCCATAGGATATAAGGCAATGTCTGTAGTGATTTTTTTTTTTAACCCTTTATTGTAAGTTTTTAAAACACTCCTTCTAATGAAGAAGCTTTGGGATCTATTTACTGGACAGTTGATAGTAGCACAATTGAGAAAGAGTTTTGATCTTAGCTTTGTATGCTGTATGAGAAATCCAGAAGGTTTGCAGGAATATTAGAGGAGGGTAACAGACTGGAACTCTAGTGCAGCTAACACTTAAAGTTGGGCAATTTTTTACTCTAATATTTGCATCTAATAATATTTTTAGCATATCATTAAAACAAAAAAAAGTTCTCTTTACAGAGAATACTAATCTTTTTAAATTTATGTAATTCTAAACACTTTTCCATATCTTGGTAGTGAACAGTTACTAGTGTATAAGGATGACCCCACATACACGCACACTACCACATGCACACAGCAGTAGAAAATGTAATTTATGAACATTTAGATTTTATTTTGTTAAAAGTTTCCCAAGATGTGTTCTAAAACTGAAGGTGATATTGTTATATTGCACAAAACTGAAAGATAGGAGTGACTTTCAGTGATCGTTATTAATGTCTAAAGGAAACCACTGTTAGAAATAGGCCCCCCCCCCGTCCTGTGACTATTTAGTTTGTTTTCAGACACTGCAATGAGTGAATCCACAGTAAATAGATTATTAATAAACTTCTTAACATTGAATCTGGTTACAACTAATTATTTTATTTAGCATGAACTGAAATTCACTTGAAGATTTGGTTTCAGAAGAAGATAATTACACATCGAATGGCTTAGGCTTGTATTTTCGTTTTAAATACCTTTTGTAAGTCCAGTTTCAATATTATCTTCAAGTATGTTAAATCTCAGTTTAAGCGCAGGGGGGACCACAACTTTTGTGGTTTTGGTTTAAGAACAGAAACTTTTTTTTTTAAAGGTAAAATAGATAATGTGTGGAATACATGAAAATACAGACAAACACTTTTGTCTTGTTAAAGCAGGGTGCTTATTATAGTTCCATAACTATAAGGGGGGGTTTAGTATTTTCTGGAATACTCTTAAAGAGTAAAGAACAGATTTATGGAAATATTTGTAAGCAGGTGACTTGACCCAGGCATCAGCTACTCATTTATTAGGCCTATGATGCATCTTGTCATAGTACCTACAGTAAAAAAGTCCAAATAAAGTCAAAATATATTTAAGATTTTGGCTATCTGAATGGGATGTTTCCTCCAGTAGCTATTTGGCTATAGTTACTGCCTCTATGAAGTTATACTTTGTTCTTACCTGATTGTGGTTACTTTTTTTATTATTATTTTTTTTATTTAGTGTCTCAGAGTGTATTATATGACAGTAATTCTTCCAGTATTTTTTTTAAAGTAGCTAATATTTGTAGGCTACATTGTCATAAAGGCAATAATGCTACTAGCTTGAAGAGCAAAAAAAATTAGAACTCCTTAAAGAGAAACACAAGAATTTAAATACTTAACAGTCAATAGCATATTTTAGGAAATATGACAGCAATAATCACACATCCATTAAGTAGCTTACTTACTTAAAAACTTCTTTGCTTGTTTGAGGGTGGAGGGAGAGATTGGTAGTGGGTAGGAAGGGAGAACACCACCCCTTACTCCCCCCCCCCTTTTTTTTTTTCCCCTTCTTCATCTTACTTTCATCTTAAAATGCTGCGGGAAGAATGAAAGCAGAAACATGCTAATCTGATTTGTTTCAAGAGGCTTCTGATAATAAAGAGGCATATCACAGGTGTTCCTAATCAAGTCAGTTTGGTTTAAAAAAAAAAAAGTATTTTTAAAATTAGGATTTCCTGTAACATAGACAATGCGAGGGTCAAGCTGATGACCTACGTCTATGTTTGGGGATCAACCATGAAACTCTGGGTGTTGGAAATATGTTATAATACATGACATTTTTATTGCAGGTTTTGACCTTTCAATAGAGAGCTGATTTTGGAGAACGGCTTACTCCTGTGACTGAAAAACTCTATGGAAGGTTGATGGAGCATGAGCTTGGTATATATTATATTAACATTTCTCTTATTTCATATGTTCTATATTTTAAAAAATGTGTATACTAATATAACTTATTCAGATTATTCAAAATAGGCCAGTTCTGCTGAGTTTGTTCAAGAATTTATTATTTGTTAAAATAATTCTTCTTTACACTCCTCCTGTAAGATTATAAAAGACTAAGTATTTACACAAGCTGTGCTCAAAAGGAAATGAAGTGGCCAAAAGTATAAAAAGCTGAGTTTGCAACAGCCTTGATCCATTTGAGTTATATAAATTCTCCATATAGTACTGTTCTCATATTCATGTCTTGGGAGTTACTCCAACTAAAATGTTGCTAATCCAAAAACAAAGTATGGATGAAATTAAAAAAATTATTTTTCAATAACTTTGTTTTTTTGTTGGGAGGATGTGTTAAAGAATAGAATAGAAAGGTAGTTGAGTGCATTTCCATGTAGTGTGTAAAGTTTGTTTTTAAAAGTGTTAATAAGCTAGCTACTTGACAAGCAAAGAGGCAGAAAAGAGGAAAAAAAAGTGGTCTTCAGGGCTCTCCACCTGTACCAGAATAGTTAGAAATTTTATTTATTTAATCTATTTGTCAGTAAACAGATGTTATATAGTAAAACAGTGAACATATCAAAGTAATTAATACGGACTATGCTACACTCATATTACAAGTCCTGCTTTGCACTAAAAATACTAATTTGGCTGAAACTGAGAAATCCATTCAGAGTAATCATAACCTATCTGCTCATATACAAGTAATCTTAACTAACCATTTACACAGACAACTGAAATTAAAATAGTAACTGGTCTTGGATTGAGTAAATTTGTTTAAATACGAAATGGAGTAGTAAAAACTGTAAGACTCTATCTTCAGCAGAATATATTCTAGTACAACAAATTCTATGAACATGTTGTGACTTTAGCAATTCCAACTTTCAGCTCAAATTCAGTTTTTACCCTTATTCAATTCTGTTTGTCTTCACATTTTTTGTAGGAAGTACTTGTACCATAAAAGTTTTTTTTTAAAAAAAGCAAAATTTCAGATTATCCCAGTAACTGCGAATTTCTACCAAGCAAATCCAGTGAGGTGTAAATTACATATTTCCTCACTGTTGTAACTAAGGGCTAGTAGAGCTGAAGAATTGCTGCCATTTACCAGTAATACATGTCCTGTTATAGAAGTATTGGAGGCAGACATATTCTGAATAAAATACCATGACTTTTGGGGTAGTTAAGACCACCTACAGAAAATTATCAGTTGAGTAATAAAATTTTGAATATAGAAAGTATAGGAAGTGAAACAAGATTTTCTATAAGCTTTGAAGTTTATGATTAAGTAATTCTCTATTTTCTAATCCTTTCTTTATGTGATTAAACACAGTGAAAGTACTTTTATTAGTGCTGTAACTGTGTTTAGGTAACATGCCTAATGTGCTCCCAAATAAAATAAATATTTCAATCTGTCCAGAAACTGCTCTGAATGTACTGCATTTCTGTTGGTTGTTTTTTTTTTTCGCCTCTATTTTTCTCGTGGTTCTCTTAGGAAAATGAGTTCCTTGGTCTGACACAAGTTCAGAGTATTTCTCATAGATTCTTATTTAACCAAAGAGGTGGTTTCTGGTTCACAACTGTAAATCAAAGGGATTTTAAATTTAGGGCCTAATCCTTCAAACTTTAAAATACACAAGTAGTCCTAATGACTCACTACCATTAATAAGGATTTGCAGAATCATATTCTCATTAGATGCACACTTTATTTCCTTTAGTAAATCTAATATATATTAAAGTATTTTGAACTTTGGACAAGTCTAAATGATTTTTATAAGGTGCAAAATGTTTTTCAGTAATATAGTAATTACTCCTTTATGAGGTCAAATATCTTGTAAGACTGCTGCAGTTGTCAGTTATCATTAGAATCCACTTTTTAAATGTTAATTTGCTCTAGAACACTCTTGTTCTGAAATTTAGCCCAAAATATTTTTTTTTTTTCCTAGAGCTGTTTTGTACTTGGTAGTCAGCATGACTGTTCTTTGACCCAAAGAGTAGGTGAAACTTTCAAGAAAGATGATGGGGTGTGTTTTCTTTTATTCTTCTACTCTTACCCTGTGCTATTACAGTTCTTATTTAGCAAAACTGCCATTGATTTGGTTGGAAGTTCAGCCTGAAATACGGGCTGCACTGCTTGCCCCTTAAAAATTGCTGATGTGGCTATTGCAAATTCTGTGCTTGACTTTGTAAATTGTTTTGCAATTTACAACTTCATTACAATTAAAAATTGTAATGAAGTTGAAAAACAGAAATGTTGAAGTGCTTCTCTGTTGAAGTGCTTCAGACGTGGAACTTCGTGTGGCCACTTTTACTGTTCTGGTGTAGGTAAAACACTTGAGGCTCTACAAACCTTGTTGACTGAATCATAATTTGAAAGCTGACAATGCATGCTTACTGCTCATCCAAAAGAAACTGCAGATTACTTTGACAACTCATTTCTGCTTTGCTGAAGTACTTCTCTTGCTTTTCAAAGGCAACTTAAATAATTTTCCTGGAGGAGATATGTAGCTATAAATGCAACCCATACCTAGTTATTACAACAGATGTAAAATCAACGATTGTTTGAAACCCTGTGATATCTTAGGCATGACTGTTTTAAGTTTTGAAATCCTAAGCAACTGAATTTTCTGGATTTTGTTAGTTTAAACTAAATATAACCCTAACATTTTAAAATCAAGTTTTGTATACTATTAGATTTAAATAGACTTTAACTTTTATTATTACATCAGGCATTTAATGAAACATGTATTATAAGAAGAATTTAAGACTGGCACACTTACACATCATTTTTCATTGTCTCTTGATAACGTGGGCTTGCAAGGCAAGGAAAAGAAAAGCAAATTATATGCAAATTCTTTAGGGAAAATAGTTAAAATATGCTAACTGGAATATTTAAATGCTTTTTTTCCTCAAATGCAAACATATAATTAAGCAAGGTATTCCCCCCCTCCTTTTTTTTTTTTTTATTTAAATTTCAACAAAAACCTAAGTAGAAATTTATGTAGACTAGTACATTTAAGCTTTGGGTGGGGGGATGAGAAATGTAATCAGAGTTCTTGAACGTTCAACTACTGTATTGAGGGCTTGTGTATCTACCTTGGTTTAGACTGCTGTTTGCATACTAACATGAAAAAGGGCATGTATGAAGATGCTACTGCTCATTGAGTAGTGTGTTTGAATAAAACAATGTTTCTAGCTTTGTTAATTTTGAATTTATTTCAAACAAAGGGATATTCATGGTAAATTTTTTTCTGACTTTGTTTGGGGCAGGTTTTTTTTTCTTTCTGAAAACGGTTGTTTTGTTATTATTCTAAATTTTTACAGCACTATTATGAAAAAATTAGTGCTTTTTATCAAAAGATACTACCAAGATAATCTACTCAAAGCAAGAAATCAGCAATATTTGTTTTTTAATTTGTGCAGTTCTTACAAATTTTAGTAATATGCAAGTACTTCAAAAGAATTTACACCTTTTCTTTAATCCAATAAATTTTAAAAGCTTGCTTTTTGTTTCCTATCAGTGTCCTATGGGGTTGTTGTTTGGGGGTTTTTTTGGTTTGTTTTGAGGGTTTTATTGAGGTTGTTTGTTTGGGGTTTTTTAAGCCTTCAGGTCATATATTTTCTTGATTTTTTTTTTTTTGTCCACTTCCTAGTTGACATGAAGAGCAATTTAAAGAAATGTTTTTTAAATTTCCCTTTCTCCCCACTGAAGGAAATAGGTTTAAGTACTCATTTGAAAGTTAACATAAACATTTTGAAAGTATTGTGATTATGGACATGATTATGATCTTCCCAACTTTATCTGATAACTTTCTACTTCAACATAGATGTAGTATCATATAAGTAATTTTTAGATTTAGACAGGAGTTCTAGTGGTTCTGATAAATGAAAAAACTTGCTTTATAATTTCTGTATTCTTTTGGAGCAAAATTTTCTTTCAGTAGAATGGGTAGATACTGTGGTCTTAAGCATGTTATCATTTTAGTAATTCTGAAAACACTTTACTTTCTCTTGTTGCAAGTTAATCCATATTTTAGTCAAGTTCAAGAATTAGACAAGGAAGATGCTCCATCTGTTGTAAAACATTGCAATGGCTCTTACAAGAAAGTTTTTTGCAGACAAAGTTTTCTTTTGATACTGTAGCACTTATGTCAGTATTTTGCACAGGCAAAAAGAACTCCTGGTCAAAAGAATGGTTATATACTGATTACCCTGTCTCTAAAGCCAAAAGGTTCTCAGGAGAGGGGATAATGATGCTTTTAATGCCAAGCATGGGAGTTATAGAAGCAGCAGTCAAATCTGTACTTTTCTTCATCTGTGTTATCACCTAAAATCTAAAAATATTTTTTCATCTCCCAGTCAGTCACTATTAGTCAGGGATTTTAGTTCTGTATGATCAGACTATTTTTTTAAACAAAGGGTCACATGCTCATCTTTAATTCTTTGTATGTGGAAATCCACAGTCTATATGATATACAAGTTCTAATAATATGTTCACTATACTTCTTTAGGTCCCAAATTCGTGTCCTTCCTAATCAGTTCAAGAGTAGAGAAAATATGGTTTGAAATAAACTCTTAGGAAAATGTTTGTCTTTCTCTCTAGAATTACCAGATTTAAAATCTGGATCTGCATCTAGGTTTGGGGTGTAACTAGGAGACTCTTGAATTAGCAGTCAGAAAATAATTCTTTCCAGGGTATAGTACTGCTAGACTTTGTTCTGTTTTGACTCCAGCAACTCTTCTGTTTTCATTAAGGCTTTGATCCCAGCTATATAATCATAATTACAGTGAATTTGGCTGTGGATATTGAGCGTTTGCTTCAGAAATCGATATTTTCGTGAAACTGCGTAAGAAGCTAAGAGAAATATAAAATACAAGAATGTTCATGAGTTATCTCTTAAATTTATTGTCCTTGGTTATTTTTTTTTCCATTTAGATATACAAAGTTCTTGCATTTTGGTGTGCAGTACCTAATTTGTCAATCTCACAGCCTTCTGATCTGAAAATGAATTTGAAATGCTGTTCAGGGGTTTTTTGTTTTGTTTTTTCAGAGAAATATAACTTATGTTGCTGACCCACTTTCCATTATTAAAAACCTGAACAGAATTTGTCATTGAGGTAGGAATTAATGAAGGCTAACACTAGAGGGCAATTCAAAGCAGCAGCTTACTCCAGAACAGTTTCGGGTGCCTGTGGCCTTGAGCTGAAAAAGAGGGAGCCTGTGGAGATTTTCCCAGGCTCTCCCCAGGCAAAAGCTGGTCTTTGTGATTACCCTCCTAAATCGTTTATTTAACTCATTTTTCATATCTTGGAGTGCTCCACTGAATAAGGAGGAAGTTAAGATGGTTCTTATGCTTTGCTGAATTACAAGTTAAGAAACATCTTCCAGAGAGTCTTACCTCACTCACTCATGCCACTGTCAAAAAGGCATAACTTATTCAGTAGTGGGTTTTGTTCGTTTGGAATTTGCTGTCATGTGCTATAGCAAACCCTTTGAAAAATACTAGGGTTTGTGGGGTAAGATAACATCGCACAGAAATTTAAATATCTTTTGTTAAATACTAAGGAAAATGGAATACATGCTGAGTAAAATATTGTCTTACAAAATACTGTAAAGTTATTCAAATTAATAAGGCAGTATGAATAATTAATTCCATATAAATAGGAAAAAACAAACCACCTGACAGCCAGGATAAGGCATCAGATGGGTACTTTGTGTCCATAATTTTATTAAAGAAAATATATTATATTGAATGTAACCAAAAACAAATTTAGTTGAAGATGAGTAATCAGGTGCTGTATTTAATATTTAACCAAGTAGGAGGGATCATCTGTGTGTATTGTGCACAATTTAAACAATTTATATAACAGTGCATTACATAATAAATTACAGTTTTCACAGTTGCAATGTTCATTATAGATTTACAGAACATCTTGAATACTTGTAAATAATAACCTGTAATGCAAATGATGATGTTATGGTTCTTGAAAAGAACTCAAGTATTCTTATTTTAGCAATGCAAATTTTCTCATTATATTGAAATGTATGCACCCAGCCGTGTAAATGCTTGTGGCACAGTACAAATTTCAAAACAAAGAGCATTTTATAAGTGAGTGTGAGTTTATACCTTTCCATTTATCTTATTTTATGTGGATGAATATAATATATTATTATATATTTTATGTGTAGTTATATATGAAAAAATCTGTGATTAAAATAGCATGTTTGTTCCTACACTCTGTCAGTTTGTCACGTTCTATTATCTTTGCATTCTTTTGTACAACTTACTATAAATGTCCTGAACTTGCTTTAACTGCTTTCAAGGGTTTTTTTTTTTAATAAAGAATACTTACTTAAAATTTGTGGCACTCTGGCAGTGCCACAATCAATAGAAAAACTACAATTCATTGTTTCAGTAAATGTTTACACCTATTTTCTACAGGTCTGCTCAGCAACTCCAGTGCAAACTGAAAATATGTAATCTGCTGGCAATGATGTGCCCAACCTTAATTGATGCTGGAGCCTTTGAAAGAGAGATTGTGTCATCACACAGTATATATAGTCCAACAATGACTGACCTTGATCGATCTGTCAAAGGAGAAAATAGCTTTCTTGGTTCTTAATTTGCAAAATGCACAACAGGAAAAAAAAAAAAAAAGGACCATGTGGAATTTAACCCACAGAAGTTGTTAGGTTCTCTGGTGTTTCGGGGAGACTTGGTTTTGTTGGGGAAATGGGTTTGAGGGAGTAGTTGGCAATCATGCACGGTGATAAAGAGGTCTTAATCACACACATGAACTCCTGGTTTTGAGAATGTATTTCTACCAAATCCGTCTGAATCTAGGTGATTAAAGCAAGTGTACATGTAAGCTTTTAAGGAATTGAATCCTTAGTCTTTTGCAGGTAAGACACTACCAATTTAAGAATAAGCATTTTCATGCCAACATGACTTGTCTTTTTTTTTTTTTTTTTGTTCTTTGGCCCTAAATCAAAGAAATAAGTTCTTTCTTTAACATTAAAGCTGTCTTCAGAGTTTTGTTTATTTTAACAAAGCAAGAACAAATGTGTAAGTACTGGCAATGTGCAGACCAATATTGCAATATTGGTCTATTCTGTCTTTAAGCAGGTGGTTTCATGTGGCAGGCTGGAAGAGAGACTCTTTTTCTTCCAGCTTTTGACAAAAAGATGACGCATATGACTCAGAATTAGAAGGGGAAATCTGCCAGTTTGCATCAGTTCCTTAACTTGTGGGCTGCTATTCACCACAAGGAAAATCGGTATTCTCGCACCAGTGCTTCTTGAGAGATGAGGAGTAATCCTTTCCTTCAGAAAGTGTAGGATGATTAGAGTAGGCCTTTCATATGTTACACTAGACTTTTCCTATATTAAGATAATTCTCACTTGTATTAAATTTTTAGAAAGAAAAAAGCACAGATAATTTTCTTAAATGATACATTTAATAATTAATATAGGAATCAGATATTCTAACAATGAAGATTAAAAGCAAAGGAATCTGTTACATAAAACTTCTGTTTTGTTGGCACTGAAACTCATCTGTTTTACATCTCCACAGTAAATAGGTAAGGAGGGTTTTTTATATTTTTTAACTTAATTCCACATATCTGAATCTCCAGTTCGAGTTTCTAAATAAGTTAGTAGGACTGAAAAAAAAAATAAAAATAGTAACTTTGAAGGCAGAAGCCCTCTGTTTTGAAGGGGAAAATAATTATTTGAAGTCTGAGTTTTCAAAATGTTTTTCTTTAGACCTGCTAAAAAAGATAATGCAGAACTTAGTGATAATTCCAATTATTCTTTCATATGGATTTGTATTATGATGGAAAGATACTTCTTGCAATACTGATACTTGCTCAAGGAATGTACTGACAAGTAACCTCTTACTTAAAAAAAAAGTCAGATGCTAATTTTCAGAGATTAATATTGTCTTTTTGGTTGTTGGATATTTATTAGACAGTTTGATAGGGCTAAGAATGCAACTTTAGTTTGGGGGGTTTTCTCTTTTTAGCTATTTGTGTATTTTAAATATTTTTTTTAAATTTGTGCATTATAAATATTTTTTCTTAATATATTCTAGTTAATTCAGCATGGTTTTATTTCAAGATTGTTAGTGAAATATTGAAAATCTAGCTTAATAGAAAGCTGTAAGAAGCACCAGCATCCTTATCCTTTTTGTCTTTTTTTTTTTCCCCTAATGGATAAAGTTCCTTTAATTTGAAATAACTATTGTTGTTGTTGTTTTGAAAAAGTATATCCAAAGTGAAGTTCATTTTCTAGCTGGAAAAATTAAATTCACTGCTTATCAATCTGTGTCAGCCTCAGAAAGCACCACTTTATTTTGTATTGGCTCAGTTCTGTGAGTAGTGATTCTCATTGATGGGAAATAGGGAACCAAACAGTAAATGTTTTTGAAAGTGTGTATACAGATATGTGTGTTAGATGGTATCTGTTAATATTAGTATTATTCTATTCATATTTCATGGGGAGGTAGGGA